CGCGTTAAAAATGTACAAAAATCCAGAAAAGGTGTCATAATTCAATATTCAATTCCATCACCTCTCGGATAAATAATTACTGATTTCTGATTGCTTGTAACGCACAGAGTCACAGTATGAAGGACCTTTCCGCCTATTCTCAAGGAAAGCTCGCTTATTGTTAGCCTCATTTTTAACCCTTTCGCTACGAGCGTCGCCTATAGACGACATCCGCGCGACGACCTGTGTGTACGAGCGTCGCCTATAGACGACGTCAGCGTGATACCACTTGACGATGAGACCCGCGATGTTTTTATTTTTACGCATACTGCACATCGATCACACTTGTCTCATTCTCATTATTGAGAATTTTAATTTGTTATTGTAAAGTGTAATTTTTAATTTTTAAATATATTTTTATTGATAATGATTGCAAAATCTCCAAATATGTTGTTGTATAACACTTAAAGAATCGTACGATCCGGAGAATGACGAGGCTGCACCGAAAGATATAAGTCCGAACACCAGTTTACCTAAGCGCAACATGCACACTTTTCGGCGCAGTGCTGCGTTCAGTGCCGCTACTCCGGCGGCACGGTGGCCCGTTCAACGGTGTCACTCCGGCGGAGCACACTGCCGTAGCGAAAGGGTTAATCCTTCGCAATTCGAAGATTCTGCGAGCCTCTTCCAAATTCATTTCAAAAATGTTCAAAAATTCAGAAAAAGTGTCGTAATTTAATATTCGAATAAATTACTCTCGATTTCTGATCCTTGTACAGAATTACACAACGAAGGAATTTTCCGCCTACTTCTAACGTTACTTTCGATCCTTTCAATTTGAAAATTCTCTCGTTTCCAATTTTGACTGGTCGCGTTGAAAAGTTCAAAAATTCCAAGAAAATCTCACAGTGCGTTCAACCTTCACGCGACGTGCGTAACAAACGTCCGGCAAAGGAATGCTCGTTAGCCATTCTCGCGACGCGTTCGCATCCACATCGCTCGCCGTTGCAGATCCGCGAAATGGTAACGTCGGAGGATCTCCCTCGAGACGGAGTCGCCTCGATAATGAGGCGATTTTCTGCGATCGTTTCATCGCAATCTATCGGCCTTTCCGCGGCTCGTTCGTCACGGTGCGCCCACGCGTGCCCATACAAAACGGGTTTCCGCCGCGAGTCGGCGTGCTTTACGCGCGCGCGCGAGCTTCGACGCGTATTAAGAGATACGCGCGAGATATACTTGCCCGTTCCTAATCGCGCCTCTGATCAGACCCGAGTTCCTTCACCCTGCCCGTGCACTTGACTTCGCTGGAAGGTGATCCGGATTCTTCGGCCTTTTTCCATGCCCACCGTAACATACGCGGAGGCGGAGAGACCTGTCAGAAAAGCCACTTCCAGAGTGTTTCGTAACTTTTAGGTGCCGTTAACCCTTTCGCTGCTATCGACGCCTGTAGGCGCTTTGAAAATTTCTTTGCTATTGAAAATTGGAGGCTTTTGGCGCGTTTTTGTGCTAATCTCAGACTTAATTTTATGTTCTGCAGTCTTCCAATAATTAATGTTAATTCGGTAAAGGAATTTTGGAATGATGCGGGCAAAAAGGAAATTTTGGAAAATTGGAGCCTTTTGGGGCGCTTTTGTGTTAATTCAAGCCTCAATTTTATCCTCTGCAGTCTTTTAATAATTAATCTTAATTCGATAAAGGAATTTTGGAAAGATGTGGCCAAAAAGGGAATTTTGGAAAATTGGAGCTTTTCGGGGCGCTTTTGTGATAATTTGAGACTTCTGCACTTTTCCAATAATTAATGTTAATTCGGTAAAGGAATTTTGGAAAGATGCGGCCAAAAAGGGAATTTTGGAAAATTGGAGCTTTTCGGGGCGCTTTTGTGATAATTTGAGACTTCTGCACTCTTCCAATAATTAATGTTAATTCGGTAAAGGAATTTTGGAAAGATGCGGCCAAAAAAGAGAATTTTGAAAAATTGGAGCCTTTTGGCGTACTTTCGTGTTAATTTGAGCCTTAATTTTATCCTCTGCAGTCTTCTAACAATTATTATTAATTCGATAAAGGAATTTTGGAAAGATGCGGCCAAAAAGAGAATTATGAAAAATTGGAGCTTTTCGGGGCGCTTTTGTGATAATTTGAGGCTTCTGCACTCTTCCAATAATTAATGTTAATTCGGTAAAGAAATTTTGAAATAATGTGGCCAAGAAGCGAATTTTGGAAAATTGGAGCTTTTCGGGGCGCTTTTGTGATAATTTGAGACTTAATTTTATGTTCTGTACTCTTCCAATAATTAATATTAATCCGGTAAAGAAATTTTGGAATGATGCTGCCAAAAAAGGGAATTTTGTTACCGTTGTGGGATATCTGAATTTGTCACGCGCTTTGTGTGCCAAAATTTGCCGCAGCGAAAGGGTTAAAGCGGAGGAAACATGCTCGGCTGAGTAATCGAGGGAAAATTTGTGGTTTCGTCGTTTATTCATCTTGGAACGATTTGATAGGAAGAGTAGTATGCCTCGAGGGAAGTGTGTAAGTTAGTTTGAGTTAGTATACTCCTCCTTTTATATTTTTACGTTGCAAATACGGCAAGATTTAGTAAATTTGTACTTCTTTCTTTTTTTAATTAAAATAAACAATTTTTGTAATTTTAGTGTTAATGAAGTTAGAAAAAATAACGAAAATAGCATTTCTGCTATATTAAGTACAGTGTGCTTCATTAATTTCACGAAAAATTAACGTTGCGAAACAGTGATCTCACTAAGTATATTTTAATGTTAATAAAGTGAGAAAAAAGATGTGCAAATGTTATTTTTAGTATAAAGGATGAAATGTGCTTCGTTACCATACAGTGCTCTCGAATATCTTATTTCCAGAAGAAGGGTTAAAAATTACAGGCAATTTTAATGTACCTTTTATTACCTAAATCTACCAAATTGCAGAAAATTGCTATTGATCCCTCTGAAATTAATCACAGATCTAAAAAAATTGCTACCAAATGACCAAAACTAACAAAGGGCCCCAAACTGTTACGAGAAGAATTAGTGAGAGAAGTGAGGAACTGAAATTGAACAAAATAGTTGAAGAAGCATTCGACCAGAAAAATTGTAAAAACTTTTGCACATCCTCTACCGAAAGTGATGTCAATTCTTTTGTCAAAATTTACCCGCATTAATTCGAAACATGTACCTATGCCCAAAAAAGTTTTCCAATCAGAGCACACCTCGTATCCACCCGAAATATGAATGTTCCTCCGCCGAGTGTCCGATGTCAAATTCCCTTCCCACTTATGAACACTCTATACTTCTTTCTGTTTACCTACGCTGAATTGGCGAATCTGTACGAGCGTATCGGAATTGGCGCGGCCAGGATTGATGTCGTCCTGAAAACCTCGTTTGGGGGAAATTGACTTGGAAGTAGTTCGACGCTAAGCTTCTTATTTCGAGAACTCCAATTTTCCCTGCGACGGTACACGGTGTCCCGATTTGATTATTCCCCGAACTCTGATACTTTTTCGATGGAGTTTCGAAACAAGGACACCCGAACGTTTCGTCCTAGTTCCAGGCATCTCTCGAGTGTTACAGGTTCCGTACAGTGGGCTCTACTTGGCCGGTTGATTCGCGTTTGTCAGGGAACGAAGCTCGACTTTTTCTTATGTCGAAGCCAGCTGTAGATTTATGCAGATCGTTCGGGTATCTTGGATCGAAGCGACATCGGGTATAATTGGCTTTTACGATGGCGAAAAGGAACGATCGAGGATTAATGAGGGTATAAGTATAGTGTTCCTGCATGTTGCTTGGTATCACCTTCGTTTGGAATCAAGATCGCATGTAAGTATTACGCGTTCTTACGTGTACCTTGATGTAATTTGATGTAATAGCTTTGTAATTTGGAAGTATATTGTGCGCTGCAGGTCTTTTTAGAGAAATTTTGGTAAGAAGTTGGTGATATTAGTTCTTTTGTAGGAAGGATTTGCGGTATAACTTTTTTTAACTTGTAAAATTTGGATGCTGAATTTTGAAACACCCTGTATCTCGAGTAACTTTTAATAGATCGCATGTTTTGTGTAAATTCCAATTTAGGGCAGTGCTTCTTTACACTCTCGGCAATATAAATTTTGTTAATCTTTAAAAATTTATATGTGTAATTTTGAAACGACCTGTAGCACAAACACCTTCCAAATAAGCTATGCAAGCGTACTATGTACAAACATCGCAGTGCTTTTCAAATTCAAATAAACCTCACATTCTCAATATTCTCTAATTCAAGAAATTCTCACCTTCAACTTTGAAACACCCTGTACCACAAGCATTGTCCAACGAAGCTCTAAAAATTTCAAATAAATCTCTGAAACACTTTGTATTGCAAACATGGTCCAACAAAGTGCTACAAATCCAAATGAATCTCATTTTTTTTAATATTCTCTAGTCTAAAAATTCTTAACTTCAATTCTGAAACGCTCTGTATCTCAAACTTCACCAAACACAGATCTACAAATCTCTGAAACGCTCCGTACTCCAAACATGGCCCAACAGAGCTCTACAAACCCAAGTAAACCTCCCTTTCTCGATATTCTCTATTTTAAAAAATTCTCACGTTCAACTTTGAAACACCCTGTACTTCAAACGTCACCAAACAAGCTCTATAGATCTCAAATAAATCTCTGAAACGCTCTGTGTCACAAACATCTCCCAACAATGCTCTACAAGTCCAAATAAACCTCCCTTTCTCGATATTCTCTAATTCAAAAAATTCTCACGTTCAACTTTGAAACACCCTGTACTTCAAACGTCACCAAACAAGCTCTATAGATCTCAAATAAATCTCTGAAACGCTCTGTGTCACAAACATCTCCCAATAATGCTCTACAAGCCCAAATAAACCTCCCTTTCTCGATATTCTCTAATTTAAAAAATTCTCACCTTCAACTTTGAAACACCCTATACCACAAACATCACCAAATAAAGCTCTACAGATCTCAAACAAATCCCACTTCCTCCTTATTCCCTAGTATAGAAAATTCTCACCTTCATCTTCGAAATGCCAAACAAATCCCACTTGAACCTACCTCAACAAAACAAAAACCTCGCTCTCAACTCTGAAACGACCTGTACAGCCCCGCGAACGCGGCCATTAAACCGCAGATTCACTCTCCCAGAATCCGGAACCCAGCGCGGAGTGCTTGTCTGCATGGAAAGCGATCCGCAGCATGAAAACGGCGAAAGGACGAAGAACCGCGACTAATCCGACGTCTCATTGGACACGCGCGCCGCTTTAATGCCGTAATATATTCCGGATAATGGGAAGCTGAATGGCGTTCAAGGTCAAGGGTGTCCCGCGCAATTTCCCACGAGACCGAGGCCATGACATACGCGCCACCAGTCGTGTTCAATCGCCGTCCAGGGAATTCTTCCTGCTTCGATACGCGAAAAACGAACAAACCGGGTAAATACGACGACGGGACACGCGAGAATCCGCCATTTTCCAAACGGTTCGACGACCTCACTCGCTCGGCCGAGACCAGTTGCGAGAAAATGGCCGAGTAATTGTGACGAGCGTTCACCATACTCGTAGAAATATGCAACAGAGTGGAGTTTCTTATTACGGTTGTAGATTAGATTGCTATGCAGAAATTCGAGCGGAGACGCTGAAGATTCGAGAATTCTTCTTAGTCGAGGGATCAGGGTTTTTTTGAAATAATCTCTGAGAACTGTGTCTTAGCAATTTTTCATTTTTTCAGGGTGTTTTTAGTTATTTAGAGCTAATTAGAACAATTTAGAATGTTTTGTGTGTTTTATGGAGAGCTAGAAATTGTTTAATTCATTTTTCCTAACCTCACTTTTTTTCGGAAATTCAAGAATGCTGGAGTTACGAATATTTTTCATGTTTTAAGCAAAGTTAGAATGGTTTTTTCATTCTTCAGGGTGTTTTTAGTTATTTAGAGCTAATTAGAACAATTTAGAATGTTTTGTGTGCTTTATGGAGAGCTAGAAATTGTTTAATTCATTTTTTCTAACCTCACTTTTTTTGGATATTCAAGAATGCTGGAGTTACGAATATTTTTCATGTTTTAAGCAAAGTTAAAATGTTTTGTGTGTTTTATGGGACACTAGAAACAGTTCAATTCATTTTTTCCTAACCTCACTTTTCCTGGAAATCCAGAATATGTTAGTTAGGACATTTCTGCCGGTGATTATGAAAGTGGCCTAATTTTTCTTTCGAAATATTCACAATTTTCCCTCTGAGAGTGTATTAAAAAATATTTCTTCATTAGGCAATCAAATATTTCACAAAATACTTGCTCTCATAACCTAAATCTTTTCCACGAAAAGATCGACACAACCCAAACCAAGTGATAAATTCAATTGTATTAAATTTTTCACCAGGACCACTTTCATAATAATCAGCAAAATTGAACTAAAGACTGCAGCATAATTATATATCATAGTTTCTCTGATTCAAAGAGAAACTCCATTCCATCACATTCTCAGAAAGGACCAACAGCAAAACACCAGAATTTCCATACAAAAAATTCATTTTTATTGTCGAGCATGAACAATGAGCAATAATTTAACGAAATCGACCGATCGTTAAAATGATTTCCAAATGAAGGGGCGACGAAGTATAAAGAAACAGCTAGCGCCAGTCGTTCAAGCTATCGATCCTCGATCAACACACTCGACGACAGTTCGCTGCTGCCAGTGAACCAATCATCCAGAGGAACACGCTCTCCAACAAAGCATTTCACCCTGGACGAGTGGTCTCCGATATCTCCCAATTTCTCGTCCATCAGTCCTGTTCGTATCCCAAAAAAATAACGCGTCCAAAACCGTCCTCGTCCTCAAAAACCAGCCAGCCAGTCGACTCAATGAAGATAGACAGGAACGTCGACCAACGAGTGTACCTGAGCAACTGGTACAGTCTTCAACAGCAACGTAGGTTCGATCTTCACCTTCGAATCTCCCTGAATCTGACTGATTCCGTGGCTGGAAATCGACGTGGTCACCGTAGCTGCAGCCAACTGAGGAACTTCCTTGACAAGCGGTACCAATGGAACAACATCCTTCGCAATTTCAGCATTTTTCTCTAGAGCAACGCTGGGAAGAGCGATGGGTTCCTTGGTGACAGCAGATGGTCCGTGGATCTGACTGATACCGTGGCTAGAGATGGTGGTCGTGGTCGAAGCAACGCCTAATTTACCGGCAGGTAGAATGTGCAGAGCTTCCTGGGAGAGGACAGGTAGAATAGGGAGACTTTCCTTGGATAGGACAGGTAGAATAGGAAGATGTTCCTTGGGTATCAACGTGGAGGCAACTGGAAGAGGTTCGAGAGGGACATGAAGGAAGGTGAGAGGTTGCTGGTCGATCTTGACCGCGTCTTTAGGTTTTGGTCCCTCGATTCCCAGCTCTTTGTGCAATTCTATGCGATTCTCGAGGTAGGTGGGAGCTCGAGCGAGGACTGGAAGGCCTCCCAATAAGGTCTGCGCTGGCAGGATCGGTTGCAAGTCGACCGGTTTCGACTCTGTCAGATCCAAACGAGCGTTGCTGTGCACTTGAACTTGGCTCTGGTGAGAGGTCGCCAGAGGGATGTCGCTGGTTAGCAGCACAGGTTGGTACAGAGCCTTGGCCGAAGGTGCTTTCTCGTCTTTATTCTCAGCTGAGTCTTCTACGCTACGTCTTCTGCGATGAGGTTTAGGGGTGTCTAGCTGCTTGTCGGTGTTTCTAGCTAGGATTATGTGGGCTGGTTCAACGTTCAGGTTGTTGTCCGTTGGTAAGTTTGTGGCAGCTACGCGGAAACCGTTGTCGTCAGCGACGTAGAAGACGGATTGGAGGATTCCGTTCGCGTCTATGTAGCTGTAGGAACCGCGGACACCATCGGCGTCTTTGATCTCTTCTTTCGCCGAGGGACCACCTGCGTAGCTGTACGCGTGCGCGCCTGTCCTCGTGTCCTGGTACTGCTGGTGGTACACCGGAACCGGGCTTGATAGGTACGCGTACGGGACCAGGTTCAGTGGAGTGCCTGAGGCTAGGCCTAGGGCCAGAATGAATGGAATCTGGAAGGAGCAATTGTGTGTTTCAGTTGAGTAAGTAATTATTCGGCGATTTTTTTATGATGCTTTGGTTTAAAGAACCAAAAGTAAGAATTATTTTTGAAATTTTTATTTGAAAAATTATCGATAGGGAATTGTTTGTTGGTTGAGTTGAAGTTGAGCGTTTGAGATCTTTCGGAATGGAATGTGAGAATTTTCTAATTTGAAAGTTTGAAATAACCAAAATTTGGGAAACTTGAAAATTTGAGATAATCAAGATTTGGAAATTAGAAAATTTGAAATAAACAAAATTTGGGAAATTAGAAAATTTGAGAAAACCTAAATTTGGAAATTAGAAAGTTTGAAATAATCGAAATTTGGGAAATTTGAAATAACCAAAATTTGGGAAACTTGAAAATTTGAGATAACCAAGATTTGGAAATTAGAAAATTTGAAACAACCAAGATTTGGGAAACTTGAAAATTTGAGATAACCAAGATTTGGAAATTAGGAAATTTGAAATACCCAAAATTTCGGAAATTACAAAATTTCCTAAATACCCAAAATAAATTACTCAAATTTTCAATGGCATTCAACTTTTGTAATTTTTGTAATTTGCATAGTTCAGAGTATCCTAAGGCTAAAAAAGCACAATCTCCAGAAATTAAGAATTCTAATTCACCGAAAATTTTCGAAAATTATTTCAGATTAGGCTATCGCTGCAAACCCTCAAATGTCAACTTTAAAAAATGTTCCAAATTAGTATTAATACTTCTCGAGCAATTCCAAACTCCCGGCAGTCTCTATCGTACTAAATCCGAGCTTCGATCGAATCACTCTCTGGACGGTCGTCGACAAGCTGATGGCTCGTGACTCCGAAATCCTCTCAAGGTTGACGATTCGACGGATCGTCTGTCGAATTTCACGAACGAGGTATTCTCGCCGCGTCGCAGGGGGTGAGTTTATACTTGCATGAGGCTGGAGGATCCAGTTCTCTTTACGATCCAATAACAGGTGAACGAGTGGCAACGACGGCGGGGCTAGAGACGATCGAAAAGGCGAGGCCCGTGGAAAGGCTGCCTGAGACACTCTCAGCCCTTCCAGGCATTGATTTCAAATCTTGACACACCGTGTCGGTGATCATTTGACTTTCAAGACTGCCGAATGCTGCTCGAAACCGCGGCAGAGAGCTATTTTCTCAAACGTTCTTTACCTATCCTGTGGTTTCTTGTAGCTGAGCTTGTTTCAGTCCGAATTTCTTTAGAGTGGAATGCAATTTTTATTTACGCTAATTTGGAGGTGCAGAAAAATAGAAATTGTCAGTTTTATTAATTGCGAAGAGAGAATTGGAATTAATAAAAGGGTAATTTCGAGACTCAGAATTTATAGAAGAGTACTTGAAGACTTCCTCCATTTCTCGAGCGACAAATCGAAGTCGATAAAAATTAAGATCCTCAGAAATTTGTTTTTAAAGGGAGCAGGGAAGAATAGTGTTATCCTTGTTAGCCCTAATGCGTTCTTCGTTTTGACTGTACACTCAAGCCTTTCGGGTCGAAAATGACCTAAGACCTTATGTGTAATAATTTTGTTAAAAAATGATGTTAAGGAACGTAAACTTGATAACAGCAAAAATGACGAAAAATATAAAAAGGCGGTGGGTCAGAAAAGACCCGAGCACCGCTCTAGGGTTAAACATAAATCAGCAAAATCATCACAATTTTCACACAAGAAATCCTCCGTCGCCTGTTCTTTGTTCTTCGAAAGAACGACTCTAATGCAACAACCCTGAGGGAACCTGATTAACCCTTTGCTTTGTAATAAAGTGTCACATTCGTGGTGCATATTATGTTGAAAATATTAAAAATGGAGTACTAAATTTGCAATTATCTAGAATTCTAATTTAGAGCTTACCAAATTCTCTATCCACCCTTGAAGCTTAGCAGACACAAATGATCTGTGGTATCTCAATTTCTTCAAATTAAGCACAGTATCAGAACTGCGAATAACTAAGACGAACATGTGCAGTGATAAAAAAAATCGTAAATCAAGAGGTCAATAAACTAAAGTCAATCAGTCCAACCCAGCGATTTTTAACTAATTACTAAAATTCCACGGCGCGCCAACGTGTATACTACGTTTTCTCTGACAAAAAATATACATTTCTGACTTTTCTAAATTTTTCAACTAAATTTCTATTTCTCAGTTTCTAAATTTTGCATTGAGAAATCTAAAATCTGCGCAAAAAATATACATATCCGACTTTTCTAAATTTTTCAACCGACTTTCTATCTTTTAATTTCTAGATTTTCCCATTAAGAAATCTAAAATCTAAAATCATAATTAACCAAGACAAACTTCACTAAAATCGTTTCATAGAAATTCACGGCAAAATTCGTCAATCTGACCAACAATCACAGTTCGAAAAAACTGGTTGGAAAATTAGAAGACGCGAGAAGACTTACCAGAGACTGCATCGTGCTATCGGTAGCGTATTCCTGTGAACCTCCTTACTCGACGAAGGACTGTTCGGCCTGTGCACCTTGCTTCCGATCTGGTTTTGACTTATATACATGGCGGTGGGGACGTGCGAGCCGCCGGCGGTGTCTTCGAACCAGGAACCAGCGGAATCGCCGAAGGACAGGCGTTCACCGAATACTTGGAGACGCGATCCCTCGATCCGGGATCCGGCATCCTTTGCCACGCCCTCCGCTTCTTCTTCTTCTTCTTCTTCTTCCTCGGGGTTGTTTATTTGCTCGCCTCCTATTTTCTCGCCACATCGCCGGGAACTAGATCCGTGTTTTCTGTAATGGGATCCTGGAGGCTGTAAACGGTCGGTCAGAGTAAACGTTTGAATTGTTCGGTGGAAATGATGATATTGGACTGTCGAGGGACGAGAAGGATGTGGTGGACGGTTCGCTTTTTTTCCATTTTTTTGGGGGAGTTAGGGCCTGTGGAAGAGGATATGGTGGAGAATTGCACGTTTTTTCAATTTTTTGATCGTTTTTTTTTTTTGAGTTAGTGACTGTGGAAAAGGATAGGTATGGCGGAGCATTCACTTTTTGTGACTTTTTTGATTTATTTTTCTCTTTTTTCTTTGGTTAGTGGCTGTGAAAAAGGACATGGCGGAGAATTCACTTTTTGTAACTTTATTGATTTAGCTTCTTTCTGGTTAGTGGCTGTGAAAGAGGATGTGGTGGAGAATTCACTTTTCTTTCACCTTTTTGGTTTTTTTGGTTAGTGGCTATATGTGGTAGAGTTTAATTTTATTTAGGAGATAGCAGGAGAAGTTTTAAGTTTCATTTATTTGGAGCGGCAGTGAGAATAAAGGAATAATAATTTTTGACATGTTACACAAAAAAGTTACAAGTTTTTGCAATTTTAGACGAACTTCAGAACAAAGTTAAAAAAATCACATGATTAATTCACATGAGAAATCACTTTTTGTAATTTTATTGATTTAGCTTTTTTTTGGGTTAGTGGCTGTGAAAGAGGACGTGGTGGAGAACTCACTTTTTGTAAATTCTTTTACTTTTTTTTACTTTTTAGGTTAGTGACTATGGAAAAGGAAATTCACTTGTTTCACTTTTTTGATTTATCTTTTGGTTAGTGGCTATATACGGTAGAGTTTGGTTTTATTTTGGAGATATTAGGAGAAGTTTTAAGGTGTGATTTACTTTGGACTGACAGTGAGAATAAAGGAATAATGATTTTTGACATGTTACACAAGAAAATTGCAAGTTTTTGCAATTTTACCTAAATTTTAGGACAAAGTGAAAAAGTCACATGATTAGATTACATTTGGTTAGTGGCTGTGAAGAAGAACGTGGTGGAGAATTCACTTTTTGTAACTTCTTTGATTTATCTTCTTCTTATTTTGATTAGTGGCTATGAAAAAAGGACACGGTGGAGAATTCACTTTCTTTCAATTTTTGTCCTTCATCTTTTTCTTTTCCTTCTGGTTAGTGGCTATGAAAAAGGATAGGTATGGTGAAGAATTCACTTTTTGTATCTTTTCTAATTTATTTTTTGCTCATTTTGTTCAGTGGCTGTATATGATAGGGTTTGGTATTATTTCGGAGATATTGAGTACAGTTCTAAGATGAGTGGACAATAAGAATAAAGGAATAATAAGTTTTTGACATGTTACACAGGATAATTGCAAGTTTTTGCAGATTTAGCTGAATTTCGTAACAGTGACAATGAGAATAAAGGAATAATAAATTTTTGTGAAATCAATTTTCACGAGAAAATTACAAATTTTCGCAGCTGTGTCTGAATTTCACAAACAAAGTTAAAAGATCGCACAAAAATATCAGCTCCGTGGCAAATTTCCACGGTATCGAATTCCCGACACTTTCGTTTCGCTGTAGCATCGACTGCAAGAATATTCTCGTTCCCTCGATAAAATTGTCACTTCCGAAAAATGGTAGCTACCGCCGTTAAAAATCTAGCAAGCATCTCGAAGAAAATCCACCGCAAACGACCTTCGCCGCAGAAAAACTCGACGGAATGAAAGAGTTATTAAAGTTAAAATCAGCCTTCATCACAGATACAACTTGTCCTTCTCACATTGAAATCCCTCGGACCCCGCCCAATAGCACCCAAGAGTCTCTCCCGACCGAGGGTAATCACCTAACGCTTTAACTTCTTCCACCGTCCGCAAACTCGTTCCCGGTAAACAATCGTACATGGCAATTGCCACGGCGAGATGATTGACGCCGTTAACCCCTTCGCTGCGCCACGCTCGCGACAAAAAACCTTCAGTTTGTAAGTAGCGGTGGAAACAATTATTGTTCCACGCTGGAAAATAAAGATGGGTGTGATTGAAAAACAACTGTTCCGCGATAGTCAAATGATCGATGGTGCATTCTTGCGATACCTGATTTTCAGCAAGAGACTGATATCTTATTTGCGAACTGTGAAAATGAATAATTATGTGGATTAAATGGGCGTATGTACAAGGTGAACCAGTTAACGTGGTTCATATTGGGTTATTCGGTTTTTAGTGGTTCGATTGAAATTTCTTCTTCTTGGTCGCATAATGTTTTAAAGATAATAATTTTGTTATTATATTAAAAATAGTTCAATTTGAAAGTTTCGTTTGGTCGCATATCAGAGTTAATATTTTTATTATACTAATAATATTTCAATTTGAAATTCTCTTTTGGTCGCATAATATTTCAAAGTTAATAATATTATTATTATACTGATAATATTTCAATTTGAAATGCTCTTTTGGTCGCATAATATTTCAAAGTTAATAATATTATTATTATATTAATAATATTTCAGAGTTAATATTTTTATTATACTAATAATATTTCAATTTGAAATTCTCTTTTGGTCGCATAATATTTCAAAGTTAATAATATTATTATTATACTGATAATATTTCAATTTGAAATGCTCTTTTGGTCGCATAATATTTCAAAGTTAATAATATTATTATTATATTAATAATATTTCAGAGTTAATATTTTTATTATACTAATAATATTTCAATTTGAAATTCTCTTTTGGTCGCATAATATTTCAAAGTTAATAATATTATTATTATACTGATAATATTTCAATTTGAAATGCTCTTTTGGTCGCATAATATTTCAAAGTTAATAATATTATTATTATATTAATAATATTTCAGAGTTAATATTTTTATTATACTAATAATATTTCAATTTGAAATTCTCTTTTGGTCGCATAATATTTCAAAGTTAATAATATTATTATTATACTGATAATATTTCAATTTGAAATGCTCTTTTGGTCGCATAATATTTCAAAGTTAATAATATTATTATTATATTAATAATATTTCAGAGTTAATATTTTTATTATACTAATAATATTTCAATTTGAAATTCTCTTTTGGTCGCATAATATTTCAAAGTTAATAATATTATTATTATATTAATAATATTTCAGAGTTAATATTTTTATTATACTAATAATATTTCAATTTGAAATTCTCTTTGGTAGCAAAATATTTCAAAATTAAT